CCCGGCCCTCCGCGTTACCTGCTGCTCCGCGCCCAGGCGCGCCCGCGGCACCGACTGCGCCCACAGCTGCGCCGGGCACCGGGCTCCGGCAGGAAGTGCGTGCCCTGACAGCCGCTCGCCCATTGGCTGCTTTTGCTCCTCAACGCATGTAAGCGCCACAGCGATTGGGCAGAAGTGGAGGGGGTGGAATCGGATACATGGCGTTCCGCGCGCTGCCCCCCGGGGAGGAGCTGTCCGGGCATCCTGGTCCGGCCCGTGGTGCTGAGCCGGGCTCTGGGGCTGCCTCCAGACAGCGCAGTGCCTGCCCTCACCAGCTACACTGCTCTCGTCCCCCTGCCTCCCCTCCCCTCCCCTCCCCTCCCCTCCGTCTTCCTCATTTCCAGCTGTTTCCTTTTGCCTTTTCTACCTTGAAGAACTTAATGACAGTAAAGTCTCCCTGGCTTACCTTTGGCATTATTTCCCCTTCTTTTCCTCCCTTCTCTTCCCGTTGTTTTCCTAATTTCCACCTCTTTACAGTCTCCTTGACCTCCTGTCACACTTTTAGCTTCTCTCATTCCTTGGGGAGCTCAGACCAGCAGACTGCCTGTGCCTGAAGAAGGGTGGCTGAGCCCAAAAGCTTGCAAGAACTTTTCCCAACTACTCAGTTGGTCTAATAAAAGATACCACATGAGACTCCCTATGTCTGGACAAGGGTGATTGCACCCCAAAGCTTGCTAAGAACTTTTTTCCAACTACATGGTTGGTTTAATAAAAGATGTGACATCTATCTAAAGAAGCTTGCCTGCCTATATCCTTAGGCCAACACAGTTACAGCCAAACCCCTCCACATAAATCACATAGTGAGCCAGAATTGCAGCAGGCTGGTGTCACCGGCCCCAGGGGTCTGCGCGGCATGCTGAGAAATGCCCAGGAAGGTCCGCTCGCCTGTACACCCCCATGCTGTAGCACGGTATCCAAGCATCTTCCAGCAGAGCAGTGGTTTTCAACCTGGGCTCCACAGACTATGTCTAAGGGGTCTGTGAATGGCAACTATGACTAATCAAAGTATGTGAATACCCACAGTTACAAGTCAAAGGGGTCTGCACCTGCATTTGACATTTTTTAGGGGTCCGCAAATGAAAACAAAATTGAAAATTATTGCCGTAAAGGGATAAAGGAATCTGGAGAAGACAGCCATCCATGCCATCACTCTCACATACCAAGCTAATGCTTTACCTTCTAAGCTAATTCTCAACCATATCCCTTACAGACAGATTTGGCAGTGGTTATTGGAGTTAGATGTTAGCAGGCAGTGCCCAACTCAGGCAGTGGCAGATCACTGAAAAAAAATGCCTCAGCAGAGCCCTGGATCAAGATACCAGAGTAGTTTGCTGTGAAGCCCTGAACATGAATTTGGAGAGAACACTGCCTAGCTCAGATTAACATATGGCAACATTCAGAAACTATTTGCATTTTAGTTGACAACCACTTTAAGTGTTATCATGTCTGTTTTCTAGCTGGAGACACTTGCTCAACATCAGACAGGATATCTTAGGCAGAATACCCTGAAGGTGTGTGCCTCTCAACTCTGCGCTTGCTTCCGTCCTGTCTCTTCATCACACTTTTCTGCACAATACATTAATCCCAGCATACACATACTTAAAAAAAATGCTCTGTATTGGGTAGTTATTACATTGTGTCAATATTATAGGATTACTTTGATTAATATTTTTAGTACAGTGACATAAAAAAAATCCAAATAAAATGAATAGCAAGCATGACAGGACATTGCAGTGCTTTATGGGGGAATTGTGTTCACAGTTGGATCCCCTCCTCCAGTCCAGTATCCTGTCTCCAAGAGCAGCCAGCACCAAATCCAAATACTTCAGAGCAGGGTAAAGAAACAAAAAAATAAGCAGGTGTAGGATAGATTGTAAAAAGGGGTGATTTTCCCATATCAGCTCTGTGCAGCTCTAGTATTCAAAAATGGAAAAGACAGGGTGAACTAGTAAACTAATCCTTTAGTTAGGATCTCATGTCCTAACTAAAGCTCACAATTGAGGTATTATTGTTTTGAGAAAGTACCTTCCCCTTTTGCAATGAGAAACAGGATTGAGTTTAAAAGGAAACCTAAGGAAACCTCACTATGATTTATTAAGTGTCATCAGTGGTCTTGGCTTAGTACAAAACACAGGGACAGAGAATCCTTCCTTCAAGGAGCTTGCACTTTCCATTGCAAAGACAGTGTGGTTCCTATGGGATGGTTAGGAGATAAGCCTGCAAGGTGCTGAGTGAACTGAATTCCTGCTGGCTTATATGGACCTTGCAGCATTGAGCCCCAAATGAGAGTTAAATCATAGACAGGTGCACGGACCTCTCTTAAAGACACCCCTGTCTTTGAGGGATTGACATGGGATGGTGTTTGTAAGGTACTTGTTCTGAAGTGGGAAATAGTGAAGAGATTAGCAGTGAGGACCTCATACCAATCTTTTTTGAATGGTTTCTTTCTTTCAAGACAAATATGAAAAAGCAGGTCACAACAGGAGAGACAATTAAACGAAGGCCCAAACATGCTTTGGTGTCCTTGCCTGTAAGCAGTGTTTTGGCATCATGTGGTCTGCAGCCATGCTACTTGGTGCTGTGATCTTCTCAAATCACAAAGATGACAAGGATAGGTCTGGGCAACTATTGAATGGATAATGTCTCTGGAAAGGGAGATTATGGTTCTCTACTGCACTGCCTTTGCTGCATCTCTCAGTTGCTACAAATGCAATAGCCTATGTTTATGTAAAGGAAACCTATACTGCCGATAGTGCCATCCTTTGAAAATGAGGAAAAAAAACTAAGTCTAACTACTTTAGTCTTTAAAAATCCCACAATTCTTCTGAAGAGCATTAGGAATGTATTCTCTGATACACTGAACAAATTCCACTTTAGCTAGTTCTCTTCTTCCCCCATATCCCTGAACATTAAATGGGATATAGCTTTCTTCACTTCCTCAGACTATTGCATTGTGCTGTAAGGCAGCTGCTGTGTTTCAGTGCAGTGGTAGCTTAGCAAGACAAATAATAGAGTTCAGACACATAATGCACTGTGTGATGGTGCAGATGGTGGCCCTGTCTTAGAGCATGGCAGATGGAAAAAGCCAAACAAGCATGTCTTTCTTTGGTGGATTAATAATGGGAGCAGGCAAAGGAGTGGCAGTGAAAGGAGAGGGAGGTGGTGAGAGCTATACCTGAGAACAGGGGTGAATTTCAGGCTCAAGTTCTAAACATTGGGATAGCAAGGAAGAAGGCACAAAGATGACAGTGGATGGTGCAAAATTGGGGCAAGACAGGAGTGTAGGCATTGGGATGGAAACAGAGGAAATGAGGGCAGAGATGTAGACAGGAAGGAGTGGTAACGGAGTCTGGAGAAGAAGACTGAGACCTAGAGAAAGTATTTGAGAAGAGACCCTGGGAGGAATTCAACCAGGAAAAAGACACAGTCAGAACAGTGTAAGAGCAGCATAATGGGTCCAGTTTGCATCTGACTTCAGTAGTTACTCCTGATTTACCATTCCAGAAGCATGATCAGAATCAGGCCATTGATTCTGGCAACAGCTAAGTCTGATCTAACTTCAAGTGTGAATGTGTTTTTTTCCCCAAAATTAAAAAATTGGAATGAGTGTTCCCTGTGAGAGAAACGTGCTGGGTGAGTCTAAGGCATAGCACAAGGTTGCAACTAGGTGCCTTTCTGAACATTGTGTTAGAGAAGCACCTAATGTGACTTGGATAGCCTTATGCTGCTCTGGATCTTTTATGCAGCATAAAGGGACTGGAGTGAGGTGAGAATCTCAACCCATCTCATCAGTAAGTTTTTGGAACTGTACATTTCTTATGAGGTATTGGTTGAGGACCCTTTTATGTCTTGCCTCTTGAGCTCAAAGTGGTTTAAATCTGGTCCAAAAGGTGATCTGACAGTTGTTTCCATATAACCATGTATTCTATACTGTCCAGTGAAAACAGCATCTGGTCACACTTCAGGAAGGATATGGAGAGGCTTGAGAGAGTCCAGAGAAGAGCCACTTGTATGATTAGAGGCCTGAAGAACAAGCCATATGAGGAAAGGTTGACAGATATGGGACTGTTCAGCCTAGAAAAGAGAAGACTTCAGGCGGATTTGGTGACAGGGAAGAATATCACGAGCGAGGTGAACAACTATTCACCCAAGTGCCCCAGGGGAAAACCAGAAGCAACCATCATAAACTCCTAGAAGAAGGTTTCAGATTGGATATAAGGAAAAAATTCTTCAAGGTTGGTGTGACCAGACTTTGGAATAGACTCCCAGTGGGGGTGGTGCAGGTGCCTACCCTGGAGATCTTCAAAAGGAGACTAACTGTACACCTTGCTGGGATATTTGACCGCAGCAGTCTTTCCTGCCCAGAGCAGGGGGGCTGGATCCAATGATCTCATGAGGTCTCTTCCAGCCCTAAACTTCTGTGAATCTGTAAACTACAGCACTAACTGTTGTTGCTCCAGCAGAAAGATCAAGGACTGACCAGACCTGGAGAAGATTTCAACCCACAGGGGTTAGCAACCTGGGGGATACTTTGATGGTGTTAACTCCAGTTGCACCTGTCAGTGAAAAACAGAAACTTTGGATGCCAGGGCTGAAATCTGGACCTTACTGAATAGTAGAAATCCCATACTGGATGCCTTGCATTTATAGATAATATACAGGATTGAATAGTCACTTATAGACAACATCTGGGACTGAAAGCCATTCTCATATAACTGTTTCACCGTTCAGATATTATATGGAGGCATTATTTGAAGGAATTATCAATAGCTTCTGAATCTGAAAAGTGATTTATAGCCATACTAGGAGTGATAAAGCTGCCATATATGACATTATCTTTACAATACTGAATGCTTATGCAGGCATATGAAAGGATTAAATATCTAGTTTACAAAGCTTATTCTGAGTTTTGATAAAAGATATTATAAAATAATTAGGAGTGAATGATTCATCTTTTTACCAAAACTTTTGGCCCAAGCCCTGATCTCCCTGGTTATATTCTACTGCTTTTCATTCTTCTTTCCCGAGCATTGAGCAAGTTGCAAGACCTAGTTTATGTCTAGCA